GCATTGTAATTGCCCTTTCTTGTCTTTCCCGTGCATAGCACGGGGCGTTCCACTAATAATAATAACAATAGTTATTCGCTAATATCACGAAAACTAAAGTTTTCCGTCAATTATGCATAAGGAAAAACTCGTTTAGAATCATGCTACTAATAACGTATTAGAAGGACATAAAAATCGTTCGAAGCTGGCTTCAAAAGTTAACAACAATTTCTGTAATATCTCGAAAACAAAAGCTTTCCGTCAATTTCGCAAGAGGAAAAAGTTGTCCAGAACCACACCCCTAACAACATATTCAAAGGACATTAAAATCGTTCGAAGTTGATTTCAAAAGTTAATAACAATTTTTTTCGCTAATATCTCGAAAACTAAACATTTCCGCGAAATTTGTATATGAACAAAATTGTACAGAATCATGTCCGCGATAAGATATTGAAAGCGCACTAAAGTCGAGAAAAGTTTATTTCAAAAGATGCCGGTTTTTCTGCAATAACAACACTTTGCAATTAAAAAATGAAAAATTTTTTGATAATGGTACCAATGGGGAGTCAGCACCTTCCATATGCAAAAACTTTCATTCTGATCGGTCCACCCAGTTAGGCGTAATCGGCGAACATACAAAGGAAAAAAAAAAAAAAAAAAAATATACTGATCGAATTGAGTAACCTCCTCCTTTTTCGAAGTCGGTTAAAAAAGATCAAGAAGGTGTGTCGTATATACAAAGAACGATACGAAACGAGAATCTCGATATCAATGCTAAGAATGTGTTGTTGGATTGTGCGTGCATCCGTGTTTCAGAATATATCATACGAAATTAAATTATTAATTACTATATATTATATTACTATATAATTACTATACTACATATTACTATATATTATATATTGTTTAGGTTTTGGTGAGATAAAAATACAGTTTTGTTAACTATTTAATAAGAACAATAACAATTTTTTAATAAACAGATCTCTTCGTTGCGCGTGTGCTCGGTCACGAGGCGCGATTCGTAATGCCACGAGGCTCACGCTCGTTGCCACGCGTACCCCTATAAAACAACAGCGAATCGCCCCGTGTAACGGTTTTTGGGAAATTTCCTATCCCCCAAAAGACTATCTCCCAAAAGTACGTCGCATGACCGTTGCTAATAACGGTCACGGAAAAATCCCAAGCCGATACAAAGTATCTCGATGTGTCAATATTCGGACAATGTATCGGTACGCTACAATTGTGTTATTATTGTATTATATATTGTATTATTATTGTATATATTGTATTATATATTGTATTTTATTACTGTATATTATATATTATTTATTCCCTTTTTTCAATTGTTAATGAGACCTTTTTACCCATTAAATAAGTTTGTATCTTATGTAGATATTATAAGTATATTGTTTTAAAGAAAAATACCTTTTCTTTCGAAATACATTATCTACGCGCAATGTGCACAATTTTGGCGGGAGGTCCCGTTCAGGAGTGGCGCTACGGCGGACTAAACCGCCGCATAGTGGGGTATTTACACCTAAAAGCCGGACAGAGCTAATTTAAAATTCGCGAAATTTTCAAATTCTCATAACTTTGCCGGTAATAATCCGAAATTGATGAAACAACAATGATTGTAAAGTGTAACGTCCTTGCGACTAGACTCAGGTATTTACAGCGCTTATGAAGCAAAGAGCGGCTTTTGCCTATTAAGCGACTCGTTTTTACTATAACTAATTCTAAAAGAATGTGGGGTCGTGGTGGCATGTGGTTAAAGAGTGAAATCTACAGGTTAATACCTTTCATTAATTGGGTTTATTCAATTAATGACGAGAAAGAGAGTTATAATTAACGTTTTCTTTAGAGAATATAAAAATGTACGTATGACTGAATTCTATAAGCAAATTGGAGTATAATAGACTTATTGTCGCAAATCGCAGAACGGTAGTTAACTACTTCAATTACGCGGTTTTATAATGATATACGCAACGCAATTTTATAATGGATCTAGATCCTAACAAAACTGACAGAACAATATTCGGTTATAATGGATTTAGATCCTAACAAAACTGTCAGAACAATATCTAGTTAACTACAAAAACTCTAAAATTTGTATTAGACGTGGAACAGTTACTCCTTGTTTGGCTCTAAACTAATTAGTTCATGGCCCTTTTTGTCAGAGCACACATCGGCACCCAAAACCTGATCGCTTAATTGGGGATCCTGCATTAGCTGGCTACTAGAACTACCCAACGATACTACTAAACTACCCAGACCGACCTCCGAGAATCCGACGGCGAGTTAATAACTTAGAAAAATAAGAAATATATATATGAGTGACTGGAGAGCTCTCGTTTGATGTCTTATTGTTAGTTCCTACTGGGGCTGAGCATAGCACTCTCCTTACGGAGTTTCAGATACAAGACCATAGCACTCTCCTTATGGAGTTTCAGAGACAAGATCGTTTGAACGGGGAGCCTGCGTTAGTTAGCTGCTAGAATTACCCAACGATCGAGTATCCAAATGGCTGATACCCGCTGTCCAGTCAAAACTAAGAATCTTGTAGGCTCATACCAGTTAAAACTGCTCCAGTTAGTCGCTTCCTAAGAGGTCCGGCACGTAGTACTTCAAAGATTGTTCTGCGTTCGCAGCCGCTGCTGCACGCCCTTTTATACCCAGAGAATCATGGGTTTTCCCCGGTCAAAAAGTAGTTATTATTTTATTACGCTTTATTTAATAGCAAATATATATTAATTTGATTAATAAAAATACGCTTTGATTTATTATTAATTAGTTTTTCACAAGTTTTCCCGTTAAATCGTATTTTTAATAATTTTTTGTATTTTTAATAATTTTTAGATTCGCAAATTATAAGTGTTTCAATAGAAAAAATAATTAATTGCAATCAATACATAAAATAATAGCTAAAAATATAACGCAATTTATAATTTTAAGAGAAAGAATTCAAACAATTTAAATAAAAAAATATTTGAAATCAATAAAAGCAGTCGCTAATATTTTATCAAAATTGATTAATCCTTTATCTTTAAATTGACGTAACCAAAAGCTATTTAAATTTTGTTAATGTTAAGAAAATTAAATAAACAAATTAAATAAACTCAGATGATGTAGAAGTATCACTTACTATAACAAGTCGTTTGTATTTCTTTGCAGTTTTCTTTTTCTTATTCGGTTTTTCTGCTGCCTTCATTTCTCTTTTTCTTTTTCTTTCTTCCTTTTCCTTTTCTTTTCTTTCTTTTTCGGCATTTTTTTTATAATAATAATCTTCCCATTCTTCCGATGTTACGACCAACGGAATTTTTTCCTTCGATCTCTTTCTTTTCTTTTCGGTAGATGATACCGGCCAAAATAAACAATTTTTAAAAGGGCTTGGCACATTGTTTGGTACATTAGTTTGATTTATTGTTGCAGACTGTACTTCTTGTAGTTTTGATGATGATGTGGGTGTAGGTGTTGTATTATGGGCCCTTATTTCATCTTCCCTGATATGAAAATAATCTCTCTCATTATTACTATTTTCAAAGCTATTGTTTAATGTATTGTCTAATGTATATATGTAAGCCTTTCTTGGGTGGACTTTATGCCAGGATAAATAAACACAACAATCCGTGGTTGCAGTTAAAAACTATAATATAATTAATAATTAAACAATAATAATGAACAATAATACTCTATCTACATAATACGCATACCGCACCTAAAACCGTACAAATTGTCGGTGTTTACATTCGTTCTTAGTCTTTCGTTACACTGACTCGGTTTTGTTGTTTTCTTGGGCACTGCGTAGTCGCCCCCACTCCGCCTGTCACGTGGCATTGGCGGGCACACTAAGTTTGGGGTAACGTCAAACTTACATCCCCCCCTTCAAGTTGAGTGGACGGCTTAGGAAATGGGTGATAAGGGATCAATTTACTGGTGTGAAAAAGGTTTGATTCATTCTTTCTGAAACCTCTATCAACTATATATATCACATTAGATACTTTATTTTTTATTTTATATGGACCTGTTCTAATTGGGTCTAATTTGTTTCTGTTCAATTTATTACCATTTACTATATATACTAGGTCTCCAACTTTGTAATCTATATAATTTGTATTCTTATCATAATAATTTTTATTTTGTCTGTGAGCTTTCATTGAATTTTGGAATGCTATTAATCTATCTTCTTTCAAGTTACGTTCATTACTAGGGTTTAGTTCGCTTAGTAGAGTTGATTTGTCTTTTCCAGTGAGCAAATAATTGGGTGTGAAACCTGTTGAACTATGAATTGTATTGTTATATTCTTTGACACATTCTTGTGCTATAATGGGCCATGGGCGATTTTTGTTCTCAAATATTTTACATCTTATCCTGTTGATTAGTGTTTGATTCGTTCTCTCATTTAAACCGTTAGAAAAAGCACAATCCACTGCTGTGAAGATTAAGTTTATCTTTTGGGACCTCAAATATTGTTTAAATTCTTTCGAATTTATACCTGCATATTGGTCTGTGAATAAAGTTTTTATGTTATTGTCCTTTTTTATTGTTTTTATTAGTTTAATAAAATCTTTCGCGCCTTGTGTTTTAGACGTTGATATAAACGCATACCTTGTAAAATGATCGATCAACAAATTATATTTTAAGAGTACTTCTTGTAGTAATGGAGCAAAGTTTTCTCTTCGAATTGTTTGCCCATTGTGCTCAAATTTCCATTTCTGTACAGAATCTTTCCAACCATTTTTCAATGGATGAAACACTGATACATCCATTGGTTGTAAGATGTGTGTTGCATTCGGGTAAAGGGCAATAATTATTATTCCTTTCTCTGTACAAAACTCACTTAGGGATAAAGTAAGGTGACTAACATGACCATCCACAAATAAAATGACTGGCAAAGGAATATCTTTCTTTAATAGCCATTTATAGAACACATTTGTAATATATTCATAAAAACTTTGTCCAGTCATCCAGCCACTAGAACTTCTTCCCACGCCCCACTCATTAGGCATCGAACTTATTATGTGAGAGGGGATTCTTACATAGCAAAATATGACCATTGGTGGTGCAAGCTGACCAGCTGCATTGGCAGTTATAAGTGTCGTCAGGCACTCCTTTTCGTCGTTATTAATAAAGTTATATACTGTGGATTCTCCTCTTCTAACTATAACTTTCTTTACTTTTGGGTTAAAAAAAAAGCAGTTTCGTCTGCATTAAAAACGCGTTGACTGTCATTTAGTATATGGTAAAAATTATTATTTTTTAGGTAATTTTCTATTTCGTCGAACCAGTTGCGTATTTTTTGCTCTGTTATATTCGATCGCGCCTTTGTCAAATTCTGTGACATTCGTACAGATAATTCCGGATGACGATTTATAAAACAGGAATACCATTTATTTCCGGGCCGATTATTAATAAAATTATTAGGTCTATTTAAATTTTTCATCAACATTTCTACAGAGTCTAAAAGTTGACTTTTTGTTGCAGGAAAGCCACAGTCACCAATATGACCTAACCATTTTACTAAAGATTTTCTTCATCAAGTGTTAAATTTGTTGGTGGTCCTTTTCTACATTCTTTAAGGTATATTCCTTTATGTTTATAAGTAAGGGTTGTTCTTGGAATTTTGAAAATTTTGCTCGCTTTCAGTATTGGCATGCCTCCATCTATAGCGTCTAAAGCCTTTTTCAAGTCTTCTACCGCATATCTCACAGTTTTCTTTGCTTTTGATGCCATTCTGTATTTAAAATCAAAAATCGAAATTTATTCAAATGTACCAATATCTGACACCAACCAGTAACTGACATTACCTGTCAGCTATTGGAAGTTGTAGAGATGTGGTACTAAAAGTAATGTTTATTTATAAATCCTATCAAATTAATCTGATTTTAATTTAAAACAACGCAACGTAAAAACATAACCCTTTCGACCAATATCTGATACGGACGTCAGATATTGGTCGGCAGGGTTATGTTCATATCCCAGAAACTGACACCCCTGGCATCCATCAAATTAGACGGTTTGTTTAAAGTCTTCAAAGAAAAAACAACACTATAATCTTTAATTAGAACAGGGAAATATAAGGTTGCTCTCAAAATAATTTAATAAAATAAATACAAAGCAAAATATTATGACGTGTTTCTAACCTTAAATGATAGAAGAATCGAGCCGCTAATGAAAATTACGTGCCGACTTGTAAACAATAATTGCAAAATTTGGATAAGTTCACGCATAACGATTCTCATAAATCAGAGATGGCGTTGCATAATACACACTTGTGGCGACTGTACCGACAGCGACACATGCGCCCTCTAAACAGTTCCTATTTTTAGTTACTTTTTATTTCTTAGGTTAAGCTGTAAATAGTAGTTGGTAAGACTAGTTTATAAGGAACGCGGCGCGAAAAAGAAGAACGTCGTTCTTCCTCTTCTTGTTACGAAAGCGAAAGAGTCAGCACGTGTGCGTATTAATAAAAAGTGCAATCCTTGCAAATAGCAAGAAAAGTCGTTGTGCGTCATTTCCTACACCGGGCTCTCCTTCACGAACCTTAGTCCCCACACACTTCATTATACACACAATGAGAAACAGGTATTATTTATAGATTCTTTATTAATTAATTACAAAGTTAAAAGTGTCAGTTCTTGGTGGAGTGTCAGATATTGGGCAACTTACCTTAATATAAACATTTGAATAATAATTTATAATAACTCTATTTCGAAGTATGTCTCTTGTCTCCTTCTAACTAACGCGCGCGCCATCGATCGGTGATCTACTCTAAACAATATTGCACGTGTGAGCTACCCCATCCCATTATCACGCGAATTTTTATGGTGCAGTCGGTAATTTGCAGTAGGTAATAGAATAGAAAAAGATATACGCATTAGCATGTTTCTTTATTTATCTACTGGATTTAATGTGATGTTCCCGGGGACGTTATAAAAGCGTAAATTTTCTACTTTTTGATTATGTAGGTATTTTGTATAAAAATCACTACTGAAGCTACAATACACATCTAAAATCTTATTGAAATATATGCATTGAAATATATGGAATATAATGGTATATGTAGATATGATATTCAAAAAATATTTTTTATATACAATTACGATATTCACAATTCGATGAAAATTGCTTTATGAAAATATTCTTCTATCCTCTTATTCTAATAAATATTCTCGTCCTCATCCTCGCTTTCATCATAATCTTCATTTTCGTCATCTTCTTCATTTTCTTCTTCGCTTTCGTCTTCGTCTTCACTTATTGTATTAGGTAAAAGAAGCAAATTTAATGTCTCTTTTAAAAGGGGATTTTGTAGAAAATATGTGTCTCACTTGACATGATTAAATGTACTTACAGTAGATGAACTTCAATAAGAAAGTAACTTAAACTTTAATACGTGTCATTAATAATAAACTTAACACGAAATAATTAACACGCACTGAACATAAACTACACAAAACAATATTTAAACTAAAAGAAATACACTACACACGATGGAAGTTACACTAAAGATTTAAATAAAGTTCTGTTCCACCACAATTTATTTATTGTTCTTGTGAATAAGAATTCGAAAGCACGATGCACACTTCGTTAAAGCTTGTAACTGACTGTGTCAACGCTCGTCAAACCTCCTCCTCGAAAACTCATTAGAAAAGGAAATAAGTATAAATAGAGTGAGAAAATCGAGAAACTGGGAAAAACCTAGGCAAGAATCTGCAGAAAGAGTGAAAAGATGGAGATCATAAATCTAGAGAAGATAGAAAACAGAAAAAAGGACTTTAGAAAATAAAAAAGATATAGAAAACAGAAAAAGTAACGCGTACAATGGGCGCAGAATATTTCGCTTTCTAGTCTTTGATTGCATTGTTACAACTGAATGCAATCAAAAGACAGAGAATTTAATCGCTTATCTGCAGCATATAATAAACATTTCAAATGTCAATAATCTAAACAGTTGTTTTGAAGAGATTCTTAGCATTCAAGGGGAGGCCCGTTGAGCGCAAACATACAAGTATGCGTAGACCGCGCGTTGCAATTCTCAAACACCATCTACCAACATTAGCTACAAAACTTCTAGTCAGATCAAGTCAGATCCAATTCTTTTTGCACTGTATTTGTCAATCTTTATCGAATAGAATGACATCAATTAGAACACGGGGACTCACTAGGAAGTGTAACAAAATCCTTGATGAATTTTTAAAATCATAAGAAAAAATTGCTGAATTACTGATTATTTTTAAATATTAATTAAATGTAGAAATATACACAATATCGAAATAAATACTGTTTCAGAGTATAGTATTATATACCTACTTGAAAATCCATCATAGCAAAATGCTTTGCATTGTTCCCTTAAAATGTGTAAAAATTACTAATAACCGAATGATGCTTCAGAGAGTGGTTACATAAGAAACGCGTGCTATGTTACATAATCTCAACTTTCGAGAAAGCATACTATTTTATGATTACATATATGAAAAAATGAACCTCAGAACATTGTTCCTCAGTCATTCAACTACCTTAAGGAGAAATAATATTACAGTTTATGCAAAATTTTTAAAATCGACTTTTGTCCGGCTTTTCGGTGCAAATACCCCACTGTGCGTTAGCGAAAGGGTTAATAACCTCCTAGAGCACTATATTTATATATTCTCTTCCTCGAAACACATCTTAACGGATCAAGGACAAAACTTTGTATGCAAGTTAATGGAAACATTCGAAAAAGCTTTTAAGATCAAACATATTAAAACCACTAGTTTCCATCCTCAAAGTAACGGAGCATTAGAACGAACGCATTCAACTGTAAAAGATTTGTTGCGAACTTGTATCAGCGAAAAGCAAAACGAATGGGACGAAAATTTAAATTTAATTTGTATGGGTTATAATACAGCTATTCACGAATCTACTGGTTACACACCATTTGAATTAACATTCGGACACAGAGCTAATATGCCTTCAACAATTTCAAACACTACTAAAATTACTAAACAAGAATTATTTAAACTTTGGAAAAAACGACACGATAGTTATTTGAAAAATGCACAAATTTTCATAGAACGTAGCAAAAGAAGAAATAAAAAAACACAGGATAAAAAGATTAAAATTTCCTCAATTCTTAAAGGCGGTGATTTAGTTTTACTACATAACGATGATAAGAAACATAAACTCGATCAAGAATGGCTAGGACCCGCTAGAATAACTAAAAGCTGTCCACCAAATTATGAAATTCTATTTGAAGATACTAATTATAAAACTAAAGTGCATGGTAACAGATTAAAATTGTATAATTCTATTTCAGATACTAACGCTGGAGACGCTGGAAACAATTAACATTTTAGAAGTTAATAAAATCGGGAATAATAACATAATATCAGAAAATTTAGAAACTTGTAAATTGTACTACGATTCCATTAAACTTAACTTTATAATAGACCCTAGAAAACATTTGGACACTGTAGATGTTATACAAAACGAAATTAATCGACTCGAAAATTTTTGTAACACTCAGAAAGAATGCACTCTTAATGAACATACACTCGTTAATTTAAGACACCGAATTTATAAAAGTAGGAAAATTAACAACCGAACTCTATTTGGAAAACTCTATTTGGAACTTTAGATGAAAACGATCTGCAATTAATAAACCAAAATATCGATAAATTATTTGATAGTCAAAATAACCTTACACAGGTAATCGAGAAACAAAACAGGATTATTAAAGGTTTAACAGAAAACGAATCATTGAAGACTATCCTAGAAAATATGGGCAAGAACGTGGAAATCTTGTATAGAAATAAAAACCAAATAACTTTTAACACTCATGTAATATTATTAGAAAGTTTAATAGAAGATATGACGTTGTAAACTAAAACTATGTGTAATGGAATAATATTAGGAAAAAAGGAATAATCGATACAACCCTCTTGAATATTACTCAATTTATAGAAAGTCACAATAAAATCATAGACCCGAACTTGATCCACACTGAAATCAAAGGAACAATGGACAATTTTCAGTTATTGATTGATATCAGTACACTCACATTAATAGTTCATAATCACAAAATTATATACCAAATAGAAGTACCAATACCAGAAAATAACGAATGGAAAATTGTAAAATATCATTCCATCCCAGTAAAACAAAACCAAGTATTCACAGCAAAATTGTTAACCTACAAATTGTTAACCTGCTCCTTAGTATTGATAAATCAGAAACAGTTTATAGTTATAGACAACGAATATTTGAGCCAAAATTTTAGAAACACACCGCTAGAACTGTTGGAATATTAAAGACAAAATGTGATAAATGCACAAAAATATATTTTAGAAAAATTAATGAATAAATGTGAAAATAATACAATAGATACGTGGTTTCGTGACGCGTGCTCATCGAGGACTGGTTAATTATGCACGATGATCGGTATCGCGATGTTCGCAGCGACACCCACTGTTCGTCAATCGGACTCTACTTTACCGACTATCAAGAACAAAGGGTCTGAGCGCTTAACGGCCCCAGGAAACAAAATTCAAAAAAATCATATGGGTCGTGTAGCCTGCTTCGAGTAGACCACGCGTACCCATGCTTGGCGTTCAAAATCGCCGTCGTTGCTCCAGAAGAGGAGGAAATGTTTCCCGAGCGCACAGTGGCGAAAAACGGCGAAAACGTGGACAAAACTAATATCTTCGATTCTGAGATAAATTATTTAAATGTTTTTGGATAAAATGATTATATTA